GTGTACTATTTGATCGTCGAGGTAGGTATCAATGGCATAGTTCTGCCAGTCTATACGAAAGTCTTAAGACTACATTTCCCTCATCTTTTAAAATATAAAATACAAATATTCGAAGAGAACGATGATTCATGGGTCGAGCATTGCACCGTCGGATAATATATAATACCCTAAAGACATCTTTACCACCCCATGACATTGATTATCTTACTGTCTATGATATTATAGTCATCTATTTTTAGCTCTTTACAGGTTCGAGTCGCTCCATGATACTTGTTCTCTCTCTCTCTCTCTCCTCTCTCTCTCTCCTCTCTTCTCCTCTCTCTCATCTCTCTCTCTCTCTCTCTCTCCTCTCTCATCTCTTCTCCTCGCTTCTCTATCACACTTGTCTTTGGCTGGATGTACCCAAACCTGTACTTATCAAATCAGAGTTTCGGTTGAAGTCAGGGAAACTAGCGCGGTCCTGGTTCGCCTCGTTCTTGAAGACGGCGTGACTGGCACAGATATAGGCCCCACAGCAGATTAGCCCTGAAGTATAACCCCCCCCCCCCAAGTCATAGGAAAGTCAATAGGTCATAGCGAAGTGGCGTGGTCTAGGTTAGGGGATGCAAAGGGACGCCGCTCCTTCATTAATTATTTATGCAGTCAGAGTATGGAGTGTGTGTTTGTAATGGTATAGTATTTTATATAATTATATATATATATAATATACTATATTATATTATAATATATATATATACTATATATATATATATATAAATATACAATATATATATACATATTATATATGTGTGTGTGTGTGTGTGTTGTGTGCATATATTATGTATACATATATACTATATATATATATATATATATATATATATATATATATATATAATTAATATATGAATATATATATATATATATTATTAATATATATTTATCTATATATATACGACGCGACACACACACATACACACACACACACACACACACACACACACACACACACACACACACACACACACACACACACACACACACACACACACACACACACACACACACACACACACATATATATATATATTAATATATATATATATATATATATATATATATATATTTATATACAGAGAGATAAGAGAAATTATTATATATATAATATTATATGTATATATAATATTATATATATATATATATATATATAATATAAATGTATATATATATTCATATATGCATGTGATGTACATACATATATATAATAACAACACACACACATACACACAACACACACACACCATCACACACACACACCTACACACATAACTACTATAGTAACTATAATAATATCACTATGAATATATATATTATTATATATATGTATATATATATAAAATATACATTGTATAATAATATAATACAATTGACAATATAATATATATAACATAATATTATATATATATTTATGTATGTAGTATATATATTCACTTTAACCAATATATATTCATATTAATTATTTAATGCTATATTATAGATCAGTATATATATATATGTTATATATATAGATATGATTAGATACATATAATATAGAGGGGTATAACATAGTTACGTATATATATTATATTATGAAGATCATATGTATATATAGGATAGGAGATAAGCAAGATAGCATAGATATATGAATATCATATATACATATATATATTTCATTGTGATGTTATACTATATTGAATCATAAACATATCATAATGTATAATATATATAATATTATTACATAATATTATTCATGTAATATGTATATAATTATTACCATCAGATAATATATATATACATATATAATACATATATATGAGTGTGTGGTGTGTGTGATTGTGTAAGACTCCGTCGATCTGTCCTGGCTCGTTTACGTGCACTACCTCGTATACATCCAGTAGAACTTCCAAGGATACCTTCAGGTACGCAGTCTTATTTGTGGTGTCAGTTGAGTACCTCTTTGATCCCGTAATACCCACACTGCCAAACTTCTACAAAACATCCGTTACGGCTTATTAGTTAAATTCCATTAATCGAACACAATAAATCCCGACGTTACCTGATGAGCACGTCGCGCGCATGCAGGTCTGTAGTGTTGAGGTGGGTGGTCAGATAGGATCCCTAGAGTAGAGATAGGGCGGTGTGGAACCATAACCACCTAGATATAGCCGCTTCCCACTTAATGTCCTCTCCGACGCCACCCCGCCCCCCCCCCACTACACCAGCACCCTCTCGCTGCCGCATTCCTACATTACAATACTTACAGTGCACCTAATTAATCAAGTATCAGGATCTATGCGTGTATGTGGTTGGTTGGATGTTGGTATGTTTGTGTTTGTTGTCGTAGTGTTGGTCCTGTGAGTGTGTTAAGCAAATTGCACATTCTATACCCGCACCTTAAAAATGTCAAATAATCACGTTGTGAGCTAGACTGACTGGATTCGGGTTCAACGTGTGTGTGCTGTGATGTGTGTGTCTGTATTTGTATGTGTTGTGTGTTTCGTGTCTGTATATCTGTGTCTGGTGAACTGGTGAAATGTGTGTGTGTTTGGTGTGGTGTGTGGTGTTGTGTGGTGTGTGGTGTGTTGTGTGTGTGTGTGTGGTGGCGTGTTTTTTTTTTGGTTTGTTTTGCTTGCATATAGACACACACACCCACACCACACACAACACACAACACACACCACTATATATTATTATCACTATATATATATACATATTTACACAACACACACACACAACACACACACAACACACAACATATATTAAATTTATTATAATATATATATATATATATAATATATATATGACATAATATACATAATAAAACACTATATGCATATATATACACACATTAATATTACATATGGTTTATGAATCCAGTTAAATTACATTCAAAATTACAGCAAAAGAAAGAAACACTTTCAATACAACTTGCCATCATGCATGCTCATTACAGAACGCTAAGAAAACGGCAAAAAACCAAACACTCCTATAAAACAACACCCCGGAAAGGACGCACATAAAACCAAAGGGAAACCCAGCCCAGATATTTTACAATAGGTCGTGGGACAAACGCACAGGTGCCATATTAGAACTCGATTGGGGAGGGGCCGCGGTGGGAATCATGTTGCAATATTGATAAATTCTTCATTCCATCGAAATATATGCGAGACCGATATTTTGAATGCGGTCAGAATCCTCCAGCATTGACCAAACAGTCTCTGCTTCGTCTCCTAGCGAATGCTATTGTATTTTCCACCTGTAAGTTTAAAAGTTCGTTTTTGCACAGCTTTTAACAATTGCACTCAAAAAGGTTTACGGATAATAGCGATGTTATCGGTCAAGTGATAATACAAAATAGGAATGATGGGAACACACTGGAAGCAGAAGCGTAACTAGGGATGGCGCGTATATACCGAGTGGTAATAGTAATAGCAATTCCTTAACAATATAAGAGTATACAATGATATTGGGTCAAAGACCAGTCGAACATAATGAATACTCACAATACTAACACAACAAAGGCACTAAGACAACTATATGATTTAAATTTTTTTGGAAATAATATTAATGGGGAATTTATTTACAACCCTTCATTACCATAGTTCTAGCTATTTCTATATTTCCTTGATAAGGGTTATAAAACTAACATGCTATCCATTGTTACAGTTTATATTCCCTGATTTATAAATTCATTGCTTTTATAATTATAACCAAACTAATTTATTAATTACTATTATGATCTCAATACATTCATAACTTTAACATTTATATCAAAGCGCTGTAAATTTACTCTTAAGAAGGAGGGAAACTTGACGTGGGTTTCCTGTTATAAGTAAAGGAAACGTTAAGTATTAGTTAATCTAGGTTAACTTTCTACAGCTTCCCAATGTATAAGGCAAGAAATACACATTTATCATGCTACACATCAAAGTGGTACAGGACAAAATACAGGAAATAATATATAAAAAAAAAAAAGCAGATCTGATAAGTCACAGTTGTGGGTTAAGACGGCTTGAGATATTATATTGTTCTCTAAACGCTTCGGTTATTTATTGAGCTGTTGTTATATTGTTTAGGAANCGTTTATGAGAACGATTTGAATCTCCAATAGCGGTTTTTTAAAAATGTATTTGGAGCATTGCTGAAAGTTGCGTGTCACTTCGGAAAAATCAGGAGGATGCTGAATTTCTTAAAGTGAGGTAGGAGGCATCTTAAGGCTCTATCACACTGGCACTTTTTTCCGTCACTTTTCTGGGGTCCGTCTGTTTGAGGTTTTCCGCACTGATCGTCTACCGCCGCGGAACGCTCCCAGACCAAGGCGGTTACGACCGTTTCCGTCTGACTAATTTCCGTGTTGATCTTGTGCTGTTAATAAATTAGATAGAATGGGAGAATGTAAAGATAAGTTAATGAAATGGTGAGTGGTAATAGTGTGTCGTATTTTTGTGTACTTAGATTCAAAAGTGGGTTGGAGTGAATTCCGTTTATGAGAACGATTTGAATCTCCAATAGCGTTTTTTTTGTTTTTTTAATTGTATTTGGAGCATTGCTGAAAGTTGAGTGTCGCTGGAGAAAAATCAGGGGGATGCTGAATTTCTTAAAGTGAGGTAGGAGGCATCTTAAGGCTCTATCACGCTGGCACTTTTTCCGTCAATTTCCGGGGTTCCGTCTAATTTAATGCTTTCTGCATTTATCGTCTACGAACGGAACGCCTCCCAGACCAAGACGGTTACGACCGTTTCCGTCTGGCTAATTTCCGTGTTGATCTTGTGCTATTAATGAATTAGATAGAATGGGTGAATGTAAACATAAGCTAATATTTTAGAATATTCGTATATACAATATGCATCATCATATTTCTTTAAAATAACGTAATATGTATGAGAATGTTCGTTCATTCGGAAATGCAAAAAAATGACAGAAAAAGTGCAAGTGTGATAGGTCCTTCAGTCATGTAATCTACCTTGCAAGAGGATAGAGAAATGCGCAAACTCTTCTTGTCTCGACAGGATACGAAAGCCGGCGACTGCCAGATCTGCCTCGACAGGTATAACGAAAGCAAAAGGCCGAGAGTTCTGCCGTGCGGCCACGTGTTCTGCTCGGCCTGCCTCGTGGGCGTCATGATCACGGGGTCGGTCACGTGTCCTTGCTGTCGCACCGCCCACGGCGCCTCAGGAATAGAGGATTTCCCTATCGTGTTCGCGGTGGAGGAGCTTCTGCGGGAAACCGACGCTCGGGGCGAGGTCCTGCTGCCGAGGAGGCGAGGCTCCAGGCTGCTGGAGGAGCTGCGCGAGGGCCAGGCGCTCGCCATCCAGGACTCCGCCTCCCAGTGCGCGGACCTGCTCGCCCAGATGGTGGAGTACAAGGGCACGGTCCTCCGGTGGATGACCGAGCACGAGGCCCTCATGAAGAGAGTCCACGACGTCCTCCTCCACCACAAAGCGGTGCGCCAGATGCTCGAGGAGGAGAAGAACCTGGTGGACGAGTTCTACAGCGAAGGGCGGCGGAAGCAGCTGCAGCTGATCGCGGCGGGGGAGGCCCTCCACGCGTCGGGGACCCCGCAGGAGACGGCCACGTCCATCCACCACGCCGACGAACTCCAGGACGAGGCGGAGACTTGGCTTCGGAAATGCGTCAGACAGTTTCCCGAAGCGAACACCGTCCGCAAGTCCATCAAGGTCAGTGGGGCCTCCTCGCTCTCCGTTGAAGACTCTTGTGCTGCAATAACTCCGTAA